TCATTTAATTTATTATAAGAAACAGGGATTGAATTAAATAATAAGATAATTATCTATTATAAGTTTCAAATATCAATCTGATTCATATGAATTCTATTTATACAAAAAAGAAAGTTAAACCTATATTAAAACATATAATCAATAATATAACATTACATATTATACTTTACTCCACATATATATAAAATATATAAATAAGGATAATATATATAGATATAGATATAGTAATTCTTTTTTTATATAAAAAGAATAAATAGAAATAAACAATCCTTTTACTTATATATATTATATATATATATCTTATCAAGTCTGTTCAATACTTATTCTAATTTGAAATCAATTTTCTTTCAATTTTATTAATTATCTTAAGATTATAAACTTCTTATAGATTATAAGCATATAGTAAAATATAATTTATAAGAGAATAAGACTAGTATTTTAGTCTTAAAGAAGAAGTAGACTCTAATCAATAACTAATATTAATTATATAAGCAACATGATACATAATTTTCTTAAATCTAAAAGGTATATTCATTCTTAATATTCTACTTTTAAGGGAATAAAGTTATATTTTATGCTTTTTCATTTAATCTAGTTTTCTAGCTTTTATTAATCTCTTATAAATCTTTTTCTAATACGGTCATTTCTATGAATAAAGCTTCTTTAAATTCTAATTAAAAAAGGTAAAAAAAGAATAATTCGAATCGAAAGTTATATATAAATAAAGAAAAGTCTTATTCATTAAAATAAGATAATTAAAGGGAAGAAGATATTAAATCGATTTGATTGAATAAAGTATTCGTATTCAATTAAATTTAAAAGAACTAAGAGTATGAGGGGGGGAGGTTTGATCATTATATAAGAATGAATAGAAGTAGATTATTCTTCTACTTCTTTATAAAACTTGAAATATAGGAGATTGAATCTTTTTAGTAAGGGAATAATGACTGGAAGCTTGTAAAGCTTCAATTTAGTATATTCTCTTAAGGGTACGAATAAAGGTCGAATTCGTACAGAATTTTAAAGTTATTTTATTAAATAATTATTTGTATTATAATAAGCTCTTTAACTTTATAACCTTTTTTCTTTACCCTTTCGAATTAAAATAAATTAGATTTACTAAAGATAATAAGTAGGCCTTTTTCTGACTTAATAGTTATATAAAAAGAGGGTTTTGTACTATAGAATAAAGGAGGAGGGTTTAATAAAAAGTTCCTAATAGAAGAGGGTAGTAGAATAATTCTTTTGTTACGACGGGTAACATTGGATCACGTGATGAGTGTCATGTGACAGGACGTTGGAGCCTTTGGAGCTTAGGATCCAAGGGATCCAAGTAGAACAGAACCATGGGTTTCGTAGAGCAGGAAGGTCTATATAAAGGAATGAGTTTCATTATAATGTAGAGCTTCGTGCTCAAGAACAATCATTAGTTTCATTACTATAGTTACGAGAATTGCAACCAGTTACCAACCTTATTGAATTCCTACTTGAAGTCTAGTCTAAACCACCTCGAGAGATCTCTAGACACTTCCACGTGACCCTAGAGGCAGCTCCCGTAACATCTTTTTATATAAAAAAGAAAAGGTTTCGAATTCGAAAAGTATATTGAGCTTTGAGTAGGATATAATTGTTGGGCAGACTTAGTAAGGTGTGTATATACAATATGTATAAATAAAAGAATTGTTTATTTCTATCTACCCTCTTTATATAAAAAGGGAATTACTATATCTATATATATATACTACCCCCATTTACATACTTTATATATATATAGAGTAAAGCGTGATATGTAATGTCACATTGTTAGTCACGTGTTCCGACAATAATAAATACAAATTAAACTATCGATTTATTAAATTCTATAAATGTAATAATCTAGTTTATAAATTAATTAATTTATTCAATTTTAAAAAAAATACAATTATAATTAAGAATCTCTTATTAGTATATTAATCGAAGAAGATAATATAAAGAATGTAGTATTCTAATCCTTTATATAAATTATATATAAATATAATCTAATACAATCTTGTTCGTCTTCTTAAAGAATATCTCATTAAATAACCTAAACCATTTTTTTCATTTTTATATGAATACCTTCATACGAAACCTCAAAAAGTGATTTAATTTATAAATACCTTCAGCAAGAAAATAAACGTTAATTAGTATTGAGATCACTTAAGGAAAAAGAATTATCAACTTAAATCATTATATACAGCATTGTATAACCTATATAAAATGAATAATATAAATTAAAATGATTTAGAATAAGATATAATTCTTCCTATTATATATATAATAAAAAGAATCATATAATTTATTTAAGTATATAATCATATGTTTTGATATAAGTCAAATTTCCATTTATAATAAAAATTCGAAATGTATAATATAAAAAGCGAATTATATTAACTAAGTTTCTTAAAACCTAAAACTAATTTGAACTAAAAATCCTCTTTTTTCTTTATTTTATAATCAAACTAAAGAAAATAAGGAAAGAATAAATTGAATTAAAATTTTTATATAAATGAGGAAGAGTTTTATTCACTAGGGTGGGGTAATCAAAGAAAAAGAGATATTAAATTAATTTAATTGAGTAGAATATTTATATTTAATTGAATTTGAAAGAACTAAGAGTGAAAAGAGGAGGTTCAATTATTATATAAGAATGAATAGAAGTAGACTATTCTTCTACTCCTTCGTAAAACTTGAAAAAAAAAGTTTTTCTATATAAAATAAATAATATAAATTGAGATGATCTAGAATAAGGTATGATTCTTCCCATTATATATATAGTGGGAAGAATCATGTGATTCGCTTAAGCACGTGATCGTACGTTCCGACATTTTTATATATGATTAATATATTATATAATAAGTTTGTAATATATATATTATAATTATATATTAATCTAAAGTATCTTTTAATTTATCGATAGTAATATAAACAATACAATTTAGAAAAAACAATATTACAATATTAAATAAATATATCAAATAACAAAAAGTAAATTTCGCTAAAGGATTTAATTATATACTATTTGATTTAAATTCATTTAAGATTATTATCTTTACTAATATCTTTTTTACTAATAATAAGAATTATTCATTCCAAATAAACTATATTATTATTATAATAAATAAATATAATAATATTAATATTATTTATTAGTTATTTATTAAATACAAAAGAGTTATATATAATATTCTAACTTTAAAATTATATGAATTAGTCTAAGAATTTGATATTAGTATAGTATTTACTTTTATAATTAGTATTATTCTTAATAAAGAGATTCAATTAGTTTTATATACTAATTTAAAGTCATTATATGATTTACTCATCAAGTTAGATATAATTAATGAAAAGAGATTAATAATTGATATTATAGTACTATACTAATCTTATAAAAAAAGAGATTATTGAAGTTAAATAAATTAATAAACTAATTAATCTAATTAATACAATAATAATGAAAAAACTATGTTAAGTATTTCTTAACTTTATTAATATAAATAAAATTAATATTAAAGTAATAAAATAAGTTAAAAGAAAATAAAATGATAAAGAAGGTAATTTTGCTAGATTCTAATAAAGTTATGAATTGAAATCATAAAAGAAAGTTTCTAGCGTATGCACATTAATTATTAAGATCTAGTGAATAGCTTTAATTAATCAATTATTATATTATGGTCTTTAGTAAATATAGAATATAATAGTCTCAAGCGAAAGTAAAAAAAACATTTATATAAGACCTATAACTTTTTATACTTATCATACACAGATCACGTGAAATTTCTTGTAGCTAATATTCAAAGTTTTTAATTATATAGATTAAAAAAAGCAGTCAATTCCTATTTATACTCTTATACTCTTTATGTATTACATTATATATTCTTTAAAGACTCTCTTCTCTTTTCTTTACTAAAGATATTACTTTTATAATAACATTTCTATAGTATATATAAAGACTTACTTTATAATCCTATTACCTGTTACGACGAGTAACATTGGATTATGTGATAAGTGTTATGTGATAGGACGTTGGAGCCTTTGAAGCTTAGGATCTAAGGAGCTAGGAGCTTTTGGAGCTTAGGATTCAAGGGATTCAAGTAGGATAGAATTATAGGTTCTATAAAGCAAGAAGGTTTATATAAAGAGAACAGGCCTTATTATAATATAAAGCTTTGTGCTTAAGAACAATCATTAGTTTCATTACTATAATTACGAGAATTGCAATTAGTTATAACCTTATTGAATTCCTACTTGAAATCTAATTTAAACTATCTTGAGAGATCTCTAGACATTTCCATATAACCCTAAAGGCAGCTCCCGTAACATTACCTTCTACTCTTTTACAATACTTACTTTTATATATATTAAATAATTTGTCGATATATTCATAATCAAATCAAGCTTTCTATATAGTGATTCTATTTATATATTCTATAAGTCTAAGCTTCTCATATAGTACTATTTATAATACTATTCTTAATTAAGCCTAGTCTATCTCATACTAAGCGCATAACCTATAATAAATTCATTATATATATATTTACTTGTTATACAATTCAAGCTTTTAATTCTTCGAATTTCATTAGAATAATTAGAGTATTGAAAGATTTCGATAGTAATCAATTCCGATTTGTTTTTTCTTCGATATAAATCCTAAGTCTATTATAATCTAATTATTCTATTCTAATTCGAAGAAATAAAGGTTTTAAATAACTTAATTATATGAATACTAATTATTAGAATCTAGTAAATAGCTTTAATTCATTAGCTATTATATTATGATCTTTAGTAAATATAGGATACAATAGCCTCAAGTGAAAGCAGAAGAGACTAGCTCTTTTTATAATGTTTATATAAAACCGACAACTTCTTATACTTAGCTAGCTTTTTAGATAGAATCCAATATAGACATTTAGGACCGACGAATACGTGGGGTGCTACGTCTTCCGTATCCTTCTCAAACCAACAGAGATGAATATTTTTAGGGGAGTAATGTAGAATCTATTCTTAAATTTCTTGTAATTCATGAATGATACTAATAATATCAACTGTGTGATCCTAAACTCCAAGACGATGCTTTAAAAAGAAATTTTCTATGCCCATGTCACACCTAATCCCGCTTAAAAGAGTATCATGCCTATGTACTGCCAGTATGCCATATTCATGATATGCAAGACGATGCAAAACTATGCTACCTGTCACCGCACTCCTTATCTTTGCCATTCAAGCATTGCAGCAAGCCACCGCGACTGCCGCTCCCAGCAGTGAGCTCTCCTCCGCATACATTAACTCCACAATACCACTTCTTGCACCACTTGCTTCTACCAGCAAATCAATATGTTTTTGTGTATTTTTGCGAAATTCGGGATAATTTTCCAGCACAGAGCCATTGTAAGCAACGACTGTGTGAGCTGAATTGGCGAGTGAAATTAATTCGGATGTGTTACGCATGTGCCAGAGGGCGTGGACACCAGCAGCAATGAGGCCGCTAGAGCGAAGGGTTACGAGGGATGCTATGAGTCGTAAGGCACGAAGATCGACTTCGGTGGGGATATGAGAGGATGGGTGACGGGTGGTGAATATTTCTATAGCAGTTGTAAGATACGGAGTTGTGTCGCTAAAAGTAGTGTTAGTTTAGTTTAATAACTATCAATGAATAAACCTGTCGGAAACTACATAGGGGGGTTTCTTTAGTCGGCCACTTACGCTTCGATGTATGAGAGAGTTTCGGTCTCTAGCGAATATTTCTCCCTTAGATTTGCAGGCACCACTCCTCCAAATAGCCCTGCGCTCTGAATTCCATCAATTAATATTAATCGTACGATCTCTCCTATGTACCCACCACTCGCGAAATGTTCGAATGGCTGAAAGTCTGGTCGAGGGTGATTTGCCTTCAAATTTTTATCCCATTTTGTGTACGGAAGATAACTTCCACCAAACATTGAGAGTTCCGTGTTGACAATAACATGTTTTGCGCAATCATGCCAAGATGCAGGACGGATCCCAAATTTTGGCTGTGAAAAGATATGGACAGGAAGATGAGCTGCAGCATTTAAACCAGTTCCCAAGATTAATGCGAAACGAGTTGTAGGATCTATATATGCTTTGGAGAGTAATGTTGCTGAAGAGTCGTTCACAATGGCATTCAATTGAACGTTGAGTCCTCTTTTCAGGCAAGACTCTTCAATCAAGTCGCCTAGATCTTTGCCAATCAATCCATCGGCAGCACAAAATCCTTTGCCCATGCCCATGAGAAGACCGCCCCTAAGCGATGTTTGACTGTGAAGCTATCGTCAGCTGATTTCGAATTGGATAATTATCTTGATGATCATACTTGATAGGAAAAGACCAGGACAATCCCACGGATAAGGGTGCCTTCAACATTTCATGTCGTTCTTTTCCCCCGGAAAGAGTGTCGACAATCCGGTCTGCCATCCAATCGAAGAACTGCACCCCGACAAGCTGTCTTTCAGCACTTTTTATCTTGAAAGATTTTAACTCAATAATCTCCATCTCTTTCCCTTCACATCCTTTCCCAGCAAGTTTAATCAAAGCCACCCGAAAAGTCGACCCCCCAACGTCTAGAGCAAGGTATGTTCCACATTCATGACCACTAGGTAATTGATGATTGTATGAAGGAAGCATACATTGTAGATTTTCCAATAAGCTCTCCGCGAACTCTTTTCTCAAGCCATCTGATAATGCCAGCAAGGAGGCCTCTGTCGTAGAATCTTTGAAAGCAGCTTCAACCTCGTCCAGAAACTTCTTGACTCTCGTCAGTGAAATCTCCTTTACATCGACATTTTCGTCCTTGATTCGTTTGATAGTCGAGGGCGCAATCCAGAATTTGATAATGATCTCTAAGATCGACTTTGTTTTAAGAAAAGATTTGATAAATGCGGCATAGAAAGCCTGTCGTACCCTATACATGGCAGCGATGAGCGGCTGCATGATATGAAGTCCTCATACATATAGGAAATACTCAATGAGACTGACGCGCTAAATTACGAAAGTGCTAGGGTAGTGCTGATACGGTCCCGCCTGCTCCATATCACAACAAAGATGAAGAAGGGAGTTTAAACAACTAAAAGATTGAAAAGATGGTAAACTTCAATTGGGTCAAAAAAATGGATCCAGTAGATGTAAAAGGAAAGGTCAGATTGGGCGGTAGAGGTACACGATGTAAAAAAGAAATATGGTAGTAGGACTTTTACCCTCGTGCTCATAAAAATTAAGTAGGCTAGACGTTTCGGCCGATTTGTGGTAACAAGCTGGAATGAATGGATGAATGAATGAATGGAGGTCTATGGAAGAAATACGTACAAGACCTGTTACTTTCCTGGAAGGAGTAACTATTGCGCCATCATTCATGGGGAATGCAATATCAAACAATTGGTTACCCAGCTCCAAGAATAGATTGAATGGGTAGGATAAGGGGAAACAGTTTAAGCCAAGACTGAGGAGGATACTACAAGTTACAACTAGGAAAGAAATAGTTTGGGAGTAACATCGTATCCTCACTCGGTTCGTCATTTCCCAGAAAGTTGGATCCCAATCGTAATGAAAATAGATTAACCAAAGTTACCTTCTTCAATTGAAACAAGCTACTTGGAAAGAAAGGGTCCGACTCTGAGCCGTCCCTCCATTCTGTTTAAAAGTTGATAATTCTGCATCGCTGCATTGTTCAGCAGGACAAGATCCTCAAGGCCATCGAAAATGGATATGCCCCTGCATAATGGCCCCTTCCCTATCTTTGGATGACTATGGATATTATCTAAATTGCCTAGGTAGTAGTAGATCCGACAAAGCATCCGACTCTGAATCAGAATCAGACTCAGAGAAACACTTCAAAAGCATTCCCATGAGTCAAAAGGTCAAAATTCCATGCTATGTGGTTCGTGTAGCATTGAACTTAAACCGTATATGGTAATATCATGATGGGGGGGTTCCAATACAATCATCGCTAGCAAAATGATTAGTTGCTTTGCTCGGTTGAAAGCAACGTTACAATTGGGGAGAGAGCATTTTGATCTCCGTCCCACCACCACCATCGATATATCATAGAAAATGTGAGAGAACTCAAAGAAGGATCATCGGGGAGGAGGAAGTGAGAAGATTTGAAAGCTTATCTAGGCATCAATAATGATCACTTCTAGTGTAAACAAACGTACAGACTGGATTCTGGATATCAACTTCTCATCAGTTACTATGCGATATGTCCTAGCAGTTTCTTGCTGATATTCCTCCATGATTTCAAGACTCCAAATACCAAGACGGAAAATCAATCATCTCCATGATCCAACTTTTGCAGTACCTAATTCAGTAACTCAGGAATTAATTCATTGATTAATCTAGCGTCCATTTCTCCCATCCACAATTCTGATCGGGATAAGCTTTAAGCGAATGTAACGGTAAGACAGCAAGAAGAAACATCCAACCATCCATCAAAACGTTCTCTGGAATTTCCCCGACCCTTCTTCCATGAAACTTCACCACCATCAAAATTTGGAGGGCTCCTCGAAAGCTGGTATCGTGGGTGTAATTGGGCGTACGACGACCAACAATTTTTGATTTGAGACACCAATGAAATGGTCAAAGTGTTTGATCATTCATCGGAACTTATTATTGACTGACCAATTTATGACTCGGGGCTTCCAGAGCTCATTGTGACAGCCGTTAGTGGAGATGTATCGATCTTGTGGGGTAAGCAAACTACCATACTTCTTTCTATCAGACTACCGATATCAGTAAGGCTATCACTACTGGGTCGTCGTGACGTTCCATGCACTATCAAGATGATGGAGGGGCAGAATGATAGAGTTGAAGGTCACCATACTTGAAACTGTCCAATGAACAACACCACCATGAGATGTTTCTATCAAGGTTTGTCGACGAAAGCTTGCATTTCCTTGTTGTGATGCGTGGAAGCTAATGGGTCGATGCCAACATCCTGCGACGAAACCCATATCAGTAAAGTATGGTAGGTACGTCAAACCACTTGACCAATTTCTCTGATGACCTACTGGGCAGATAATCTTCGGTTTTATATTCACTGTTCGCATGCCGTATACTCCATCTCTGCGGGAACATAATCATACCTAAACTTTCTGCAAACTTACATTACAACCTACAAACACCTACATACCTTTATATCGACACTCCAAAAATCCTCATAACTTCCTACATTAATTCAAACACAATCAAAATGAGATTCATCATCAGAGATGGCAGAAAAGAGGCATCGGCCTATGTTGCGCAGTACATTGTTGGTAAGAAGATACCTCGGGTTGAAGATACAAACATCGATTGACATTTAGTTAGATCGTATAAACGCTTTCGGACCTACCCCAGACCATCCTTTCGTTCTTGGTCTCCCTACTGGTTCCTCCCCTATTGGCATATACAAGATACTCGTCGAAAAGTACAAGGCTGGTGAAATCTCATTCAGAAATGTTGTCACCTTCAATATGGTATGTCTAAACTTTGCACATCAAGCTGCATTTATCTCTAGTGTTGAGAGTCAGATCACTAACAGGGAGGAACTGCATAGGATGAATACATTGGTATTCCACGCAACCATCCAGAAAGCTATCATACATTCATGTACAAGCATTTCTTCTCCCACGTTGATGTCCTTCCTCAAAACGTCCACATCTTAAATGGCAATGCCGAGAATCTCGAGGCCGAATGCGTACAATATGAGGAAGCTATCAAAGCAAAGGGCGGAATCGATTTGTTCCTTGGCGGAATCGGACCAGATGGACATATCGCATTCAATGAGCCTGGATCTTCCCTCGCATCCCGCACAAGAGTCAAGACTCTGGCATATGATACAATCATCGCCAATTCCCGATTCTTCGATGATGATTTGGAGAAGGTTCCAAAGATGGCTTTGACAGTAGGCATTCAAACTATTTTGGAGGCTAGAGAAGTTGTCATCATTATCACTGGAGCACACAAAGCTTTGGCTCTGGCAAAATGTATTGAAGAAGGTGTAAACCACATGTGGACTCTCTCTTCTTTACAGATGCATCCACATCCAATGATTGTTGCAGATGAAGATGCAACACTTGAGCTTCGAGTTAAGACAGTCAGAGTAATTGCCCCACCTTACATTACCCCGCCATCCACTTACCCCTCCATGACCAACTTCCTTCCTTCACCAGTTGAACTCGGTTACTAACAAAATTGCAAACAGTACTGGAAATCAATCGAGAAAGTCGCCGCCGATGAAGGTTTCGAACAAATTCTTCCATCTGCTGCTCGTACGGGCCCTAAGCGTACCGTCCCTCTCGCACCTATGGCAGAGAGCTTAGTCAAAGAAACACCCACCATCAAGTCTCCACAACCTCTCACAAGCACTTTCTTGGCAGCACCAGCTACCGAGTATCCAATTCGCAGAAGCATTACTCCAGATTTAATTCCTGACCGTATGGGAAGCAGAATTGTATCAGTTTAATACTGTGGTTGGTAGTTTGGGTACGGATTTGATAATGTTGGCTATGGGAAGATCACATTGGGTTACATGGACACAAGATAACAAGTTCTTCTCTTCGTAGCGGAATTATTAGTCTTTACGGATTGCGGGAGTAGATCTACGTGGCGCTTCTCTACTTTTCTCTTTATTTTCTTCTTTTGACAATATGTATCTTTATAAGATACCGAGTCCCTTCTGTTTCTTTTGTTATTTTGGCGAGCGAAACGGAAGTTATTTACATTAAAGTCAACTCACCTACACTAAATTTCTAAGATTCCCAGGAATCCTCTGTATTACTACATAGACAAGATGAGAGTTAATGAGAAATGAATAAAATAATATATATTAATAATCATTGTTGTGTTCCGTAATGACGTGTGTGTTGTGTGTGCGATACTTGTAACAATTCAATATACACATGGACATAAAGCACAAGTATGCAGGGTATCAAGAGTATCAAGAGTATCTATTTAGATAAACAGCTAGGTATCTATATCTATGTATTTTCGTTCTGACTTGGGCTGTGAAACCAATTTCTATCTATGTCGTTCTTTGGCAATTTGATGGAGGTGCTCGCTATGTTTTTTTAATCCGTAAATACAAAAGAAGAGAAATCGAAACCCCGATTGAAGAAGCCTTCATAGTCTTCCTTCCCAGCAATGACAAAATGCAATTCCCCTCCTATCTCCTAGCATCCATTCACCCTCGAGCCTAAACCAAGATTCCATCTCCCTAACTCATAATTGTTCCCCTCTCCTCCCCCTCCCTCTCAAAAACCCTAACGCCAAATTTCCACACCTCATCCACGACAACCCGCTTCCTGCCCTCCTCAACCATCACATCCAACACACACAAATCTGCATCCATTCCGCCCTCCAATCCACCCTTCACATGCTCTAACCCCAGCATTCTCGCTGGAGTCTCCGTAACTGCTTTTAACGCCTGGGCTACACTGCATCCTGTCCAGTTGAGGAAATTGGATACGCATTCTACGAGCGTTATGGAGGAGCCTGCGATTTTGCCATCGGATTCCAGACGTAGGTGGATGCCGTCTTTGAGGATGAAATCGTTGTTCCAGGCGTAGCGACCGTTGGGGAGACCGACGAGGTGCATGGCGTCTGTAACGAGAATGAGGCCTGAGGGGTGTGCATTGTAGGCGAGGGTTATGGTGGTGGGGTGGAGATGGATGGAATCGGCTATGATGCCGAAGTAGGGGCGTTGGGTTATGGGTTTGGGGAGGGAAGGGATTATGTTTTGAGTGACGAGGGGAGAGGAGGGAGGTGTGGTGGAGGGGGAGGAATTGGTGGTGGGGGTTGTGCCGAGGAGACCGAAGATTCCGGGATTGCGGTGGTGGAGAGGACGCATGGCGTTGAAGAGGTGGGTTATCATTGTTGCGCCGGCGGTGATGGCGGCGGTGGCGTCTTCGTAAGTGGATTCTGTGTGGCCGATGCTGAAGATGATGTTGTGAGGGGGGGAGGTAAGGGTTGGGATGAGGGAAGTCATGTGTGGAAGTTCGGGGGCAGCAGTTATGAGACGGATATTTCCGAGGAGGTTTGAGGGGCCGTAACAATCTGAGAGTGAAGTGAGGTCGTTGGATTTAGGAGCTAACAGGACGGGGAGGGGATGGATTCCATTTTTTGTGGGAGCGAGAAATGGTCCCTCGACGTGAGCACCGAGTGATTCGGTTCCATCTGATGCAAGACGACTTGCTCCAGAGGGACCTAGGAATGGAAGTGCCTTGAGGAAACTATTAGTATAGGTTCATCCATATAGATCACTCCAAATACTTACATGATGATAGACCTCTGGCCTCGATGATGTGATAGTAGGTAAATGTGAAGTAACACCCGTCTTAACCAACAACTGATTAATCCTCTTGAATTCCTTTGCATAAGCATTAGGATCATCACTTTCCGGTATAGAAGCAAAATCGAACCCAAAAGCTCCATTTAATTGTGTATCA